TTAGCATTAGGAATAAATCTTATAGGGAAAATGAAAGAAATCGCTTTTTTTTTGCATGCATAGAAAAAGTTTGGACATATTTTGCATATGGCTTAACACAAAAAGTGACGGATTGTCTCGGTTGTTCACCTCTGTGCTCTTTTTTACAGTCGCTATTTTCGGTGTGATAAAACAACTTACCGCCTTAACAGTTGTTTACTTGTGTTATGGCTTAAAACGTAGCAGATTTGCAACACAGAACTTTGTAAATTGACACCGCTCTCCTTATTCCGTTATCTCATATTTGCACTTACGTCAAGTTCTCGAACCCAAGAAAAATGTACTTTCTCTGAACAGGTACCATTTAAAAGGTTGCTGGTCTTTATTTATGTTATTTTATAGAACAACACAGACAAGCAAGACAGTTTGGTGCGCAGCGTTTAATAGCATAGCAAGTTCCTTCGATATCAAATAATGTTACATTTGCCCGAAAAATACACTCATCTGAAGTGAACTCTTTTTCTAGTAAACAGCATTTTGCGCCACAAGTCTATTCAATGAATAAAATAAACAAGCCCAAATGTGTGTTAAACCACGTATTCTAATGTCGATCTTCAGATTTCACCAGATAGCCAATATACTGTAGTTCAGGGTCAACCTAAACCCTAAACATAAACCTAGCCCTATTGTTCCTGGCGTTTGGCGCAGCTTTTACCAGCTTTTAAACGCCACTATTTTCGGCTATCTGGAAAAAATACACTCGGCCAAAAATAACGATTACGTAATGAGAATACTACTCTTTGGTGTCCGGTGCCATTTTTACTGAAAAAGGACGTAAGAAAAACGTGTCTTGCACTCTTTAAGATTAAAAACGCAGGGAATATTTAGGTTTAAAGAAGTTTTTTTGCATTACCGGAAGATTTTGAGATTGATCCGCCCTTGTACTTTCGTCTAGAGTTTTCGGTCCATAAACTGCATGACATTAGAGAAGATGTCATATAGGGTTTATATGATGTTGCACATGATTTTTTGTAGCTTGTATACTTTAAGAGGAACATAAGTAAACAGATAGGTGCAACGTTGCATAAATTAACACTTCGTGGTCTTTAGAGATCTCCTTCGAATGCTACTTCCGAGAAGGACGTGAGTTGCAACCAAATTAATACCAGAATTTGCTGCGCACGTTTGCTATAATATATATTTGAAAAATATTAGGGCACCGAAAATCAATAAGAAAAGCCTACTACTTAAGTAGCTATTTTACTGAGTGTGGGTTTGGTAGGCGTCTCGGGAAAGAAACTCGTCCAAGAAGCCGGCAAGACAGGAGACGCTTCAACATCACATCCCCAACAATTTGCGAACGCATTTCAGGGAATATTATTAGTATTATATTATATATCATATATATGACATAATAAAAACACGCACAAAACATTATTTTATTATACTCGTTCGGAAAAAATTGTTTTTTTTTTAAATTTCATACTTAAAGATAGGTTATCTTTTGGATTTTTTTCAAAACACGTTCTAAATTGCTACATTCGGGGTTTCTGTTTAAGGAAAATCACACATTTCTCTATGGTATGAATAAAATGTCACATAGGCATGGTGCATCCTTTAAAGGCAGTATTTATAGACAGGAATACAAAGAATATTTTCGCGCTACCAACTACCAGGGAAGAGACGTGACCCTTCATCCGAAGTGGCTATGCATAGCCTTGATACAGGACACAGCTTCGCAAAGGACAAAACACGCACCGTCGGAGTTTACCCCTCCAAAAAGGCCGAGAATTTCTTGAGGCCATGGACTCCGACGATTCATGCCTCAACCGCTACATAGAGCTAGATGGCATTTATGAACATCTCAAGGAACGGTGGAAGATACAAGGACTGACAGAAAACACAACTACCAATCAGCTCTCACGCCATCCACCCGTTTGAAATTTTAGTTATTCTTTGCACTCATTTTCTCATTAGTCCAAAGGCGAACTGGGGAGCCGGTCTCGAAAATTTACTGATTACATTTACCAACTTTTTTTTACCAATGAACATTTTTCCCCAAAGTAAACTTCTTGAATGCATGATTTCTAGTTTATACGAATATGTAGTTGAGTTTATGAGGGCATCGAACACTAATGAGATAGACGCATTCTACTTTCGCAGCCATTTTTTACAGATAGGTTGACCTTCGCACGTGGTAATAAAGCAGCCGGCAGCATCCCGGCGTCACTAAAGCGTGCTTAGATCAGGTTGCAAGATAATCAACACCTTAACCCCCCCCTCCGCCCTACTTAAGTAATATGCTCGAATTCGAAATACACACACACATTCCAGAATTTCGGCTGACGCAGATCGGTCAGCAGAGAATATGAAACTGCATCAACACACATGATGCACGTGAGGCAGGGGCGCATAAGCGCCAGTGAGCAAGGCGCCAGCCTACTGCTGGATCAGAAATACACACAGACACAGTCAGAGTCACATTTGTCGCACGCACGCAAGCACAGCAACGACGCTGAGCCGTGCTGGCGCTGCAGAGCAAGACGATCACATGCGAGCGCAGGGTCACGCTGGTGGTTACCACGGTTCACCACCGAACCACAACAGACGTGGCCTCAAAAGTTAGTGTAATGTAGCTGATGATAGTGGTGTTGGTGGCATTACACGCAGCAGTAGCAGCTGGTTATCAATCAGTAGCCACGCGTTCTCATAGTCGCATGTAGGTTGAGTGACAGGTGCGAGCTGCGAGTTCGGCTGTAGTCTGCATACTGCCAGTTTGTGTTCGCGTAGGCGGGTCTGCAATAATCGCCTTGATTCGCCAACGTAAGTTAAGTCCCAATCGTTGCAACACGTCTCGTAGAAATCTGCGGCAGGTGGCACTACGCGCAGCAGCAGCATCTAGTTATTAATCAGTAGCGATGCGTACACATAGCCGAATCTAGGCTGAGTGTCAGGTGTACTGTCGCCATGTCGACTGTTGAATCCGGCACGGTGGTGTTACAGGGACCGTGACTTACGCGAGTAGATTAGGTTTGAGTGATAATGGGCTTGCGTTGCGTCCATCGCATTCTACGCCTCCTCCTTCATCTACGTCCAGAGTCAAGAGGATCGGAGAAGCGATCGGGCGCAGGCGGCTGGAGCTACTATCTCATGGCTGGTTCAGAAGGGGAGTGCCTATATCTCCAAACCGTCCGTTTGTGTTCGTGTAGGCGGGGCTCCAATTTTAACCAGCGTAATTACAGTCATAATCGTTGCAACATATATTATAGACATCTGCGGGTTTTTCAATAGGAGGCATTTTGTCCTTAAGTTGAACCAAACGACGGTGTATTGTCGCCCGAGGTCGATGGCCTCATCGTCACGCGTGGGAAGGTACAATCCGTGACATCATCAGGGGCGCCTAGCTCTGGCATGATCACAGCCGTATCAAGTAGAAGAAAGTGCAATGTTTCATTAAAAGAGCCAGCATTCAGATCATCAGATGGTCATATGAGATCTATTAGAGCTTCAT